TAAGATGCAACCATGCAAACATAAGATGCTGTGGAACTGCCTTTGATTTAAGAACTTACTACTGTAAGTATCCTAGTATTGTAGAGTTGTCAACAAAGCTTAGAAATAAAAAATAGAGATTCTTTCCAATGTACTGAATCTCAATTCTGAAAAAGCTCATAAACAGTAAAGTTCTGAAAATAAAAACATCCCAGTGCATGTATTCAATTTGAAATCCAGCTAGGATTCCCTAGATAAGATAAAATACTTAAAGTGCATTATCTATGGTACTAGAAATGGGGAGTCTGAATAGCCCCAACACTGAATCTGAGTCATCAATGTAGAATTCTGCCATAAAAAGAACAATATAGGGGCGCCTGGGTGGCTCAGTGGGTTAAAGCCTCTGCCTTCGGCTCAGGTCATGATCTCAGGATTCTGGGATCGAACCCCACATCAGGCTCTCTGCTTAGTGGGGAGCCTACTTCCTCCTCTCTCTCTGCCTGCCTCTCTGCCTACTTGTGATCTCTGCCTGTCAAATAAATAAATAAAATCTCTTAAAAATTTATAAAAAAATAATATAATTTCTTTAAGCAAAAACATGAAATATGAGATATCTAGGGTCAAATGCCCAAATCCCAATGCTGAATTTCAAAGAGATAAATAATTCATCCAAAAATAGAGAATTGTTATTGGTAAGGCATGAGATTTTAGTTCTTTTTGTTGTAGTGGGGATTATGCTGGCCCATTCAGAATAAGATACTATAATATTCTCTTTTTATTATTATGTTCAGTTAGCCAGCATATAGCATGTCATAAGTTTTTGATGTAGTGTTACTATAATATTCTTAGAAATCAAGACACTCAAGCCAAACTGATAATGAAGAGATTCATTTGAAGTCAATTAACTTAGGTTAAATATGTCAGCAGTGGCTATGAAAATGTGCAGCCCTAATAGAAGTACCAATAGCTCAAATCCCTGACTCAAGGAGACATTATTTAACATACACAATTAGTTTTACCAGTGGTCTTAATAATTTAGCATGTAAGGAAATAATACCTTTCCATCTCTTCTCAACTGGCAAGGAAATAAGTTTTAAATAAACCAACAAAAATCAGGAAGTGAAAAATAAATCTATCAAATATCAAGTGTTTGAAACCCTAATACATATGCATTTATATGAGTATTTGTAGCCAAAGAACAATGATAATGCATGACTATTGTAGAAAAAAAAATCACATGAACACTTGACATTTTAGTAATTCACATACAAATGCAGCATAAAAGTTTATTTTTTTAAAGATTTTATTTATTTATTTATTTATTTGAGAGAGAGAGAGCATGAACAGAGGGGAAGGGCAGAAGGAGAGAAAGCAGACTCTCCACTGATCAGGGAGGCTGATGAAGGACTGGATCCCAGGATCCTGGGATCATGACCTGAGCCAAAGGCAGATGCTTAACTGAATGACTGAGCCACCCAGATGCCCAAAAGTTTATTTTTTTAAAGTTACTCTACAAATTTCACCACATCAAGAGGTATTGATATGCAGCACAGCAGAATTTTAACCAATTTTAAATTTACATAAATGGAATTCAAATCCTAGTTTTCCCATTGCATGAAAATATTGCAGTTTGTTTATCTCTCTAATTTTTACCTTTCTGGGATAAAAAATTAGAATCTTATACACAACATGATTTTCAAAATAATTAAGATATTCCACCTAAAACGCAAAATTCATGTAAAGCTTGACACATTGTGGGATTTCATAAATGATCGCTACTTTTCCAAGAAGCTATATTATTATCTCCAATTTACCAATGAGGAAGATAGATAGATAGATAGATAGATGATAGATAGATAGATAGATAAGGATTTATTTTGAGGAATTGGTTCACACAATTATGAAGGATGAGAAGTTCCACAGGCTGCCATCTCTAAGCTGGAAAGCCACTGGTGTAGTACCAGTCCAAGTATGAAGGCCTGATAACTAGGAGCACTGATGGTGTAAGTCCAAGCCCTAGGGCAGAAAACTCACGTCCCAGCTCAGCAGTGAGGCAGAGTGAGAAAGAACTCTTCATTCCTCTGCTTGGTTCTATTCAGGCCCTCAACTAACTGAATGGGGCCCACCCACAGTGGGGAGGGTAATCTGCTTTATTCAGATTACTACTGACTCAAATGCTAATCCCTTCACAAACATATCCAGAAATAACATTTGATGTGGCTCAGTCAAGTTGACACATAAAACTGTCACACATACACACACCTAAATCCATTTCATGCCAACTCTACTTAGAATTCAGGTCTCAATCTAGACATCATTATTTACTGGAAACCATTCCTTGTCCCTCACAATGAGCTTGCTGTTTTCTTTATGTGCTCTCATAGCATTCTAGATTTATTCTTTACATTATGTAATTCCACGTTACTTGTCTGTGTCTCTTGTTAACTAAAAATTTTCAGGGTCATAGACATCATTGTGCTTAACATTTAATTTCCTGTTTCTGATCCACAGTAGATGTGCAGTACATATTTTCCTAATGACTGAGTGTATTTTCAGTATTTATGCTTAAAGTGACGGTTTTGACATGTAGTACTGGAAGCTCACCTCCTCCTCTGTTTCTGGATCATTCCATGCGTTAAAGCACTTCTTAGTGCTTTATAAGTTCCCTCCTTCTGGCTCTAGGTTTGCCTTCTCTTTGGCACATAGATCAAATGTAGTTCTTCTCAAATGTAGTTAACATTTCAACCATTTGACACAACCATGTGTTTGTTCTTAGTTTTCTCTTCTCCTTGTTGATTCTAAACTTTATCATTTCCAACTCCTCTTTTTTTCTTTATAAATCCATCACTTCAATTCAGCTTGATAAGAATAAGACTAATAAAATTAAGCAGTTGCTTTTATCACAAGAAGACCATGTAATAAAATTAATGTCATTCTATGAAAGAAATTAAAATATCTCTCAGCTACATTCCAATTTAAAAATTCTAGGATTCTACATTACTCTAAAATGTTGTAAATTAAAGCCAATGTCTTATGCTGTTTTAGAAGAGAATTTGAAAACCAAAACAGTATGTTTTCTTAAACTCTACTGCTGCTACTGTCCTGTCAATGGACACTGGTTTTAAATACTTTCTTGAGTATTTATTTTATTTAAATTAAATCTACTTAAATTTGTATTGATGATTCTAGACATAAGAGCATTTTTTTCTAATAATTCCACTATCCTTCTATATATTAAAAAAACCTTAAAATTCATCTTTGAGAATTACCTGATACACAGGGATTTTTATTTTTATTTTTGCATATTTACTTTTGAATGATACCAGAAAACTGAGAAATTTATTTCATTCCACCTAATACACTTTTCAGTCAAATAATAATGGAATTAATCATCTTATAATCAGCATAGTAACTATTCCATAATGACCACAGTACACAATTAAAATTCCTCCATAATCTCTCAAATACTTAAAGATATTAAGTAGTGCCCAAAAGCTTGTTTCTATAATTTTTTTAAACTGCAACTACACAGAATAAGAAAAAAATAATAGAGATTATCTAATTTAGTCATCCTTAATATCAACTTTAATTGACAAGACCAAGGACATGTGCCTTTTGTGAATGAACCCAAACTGAGCAGCCTCAGATATAAGGTATGTTGGCATCTCAGTAGCCTGCGAGAGCAGGAATAAAGCTGAGACTAGACAGAAATAGTAGCTAGAGATTTAAAAATAAGTAGTCAACAAAACAACAGGTAGTCACGAGATATCACAAATTAATATTTGGAGCTGGAGTGTTTCAATAACTAAGAAGGTAAAATTGTGTATGTAAAACACAACTGCAGGAGTACATTCTCCAAATCAAGTGGTTGGAGACATAGTGGCTCCAAATTCTATGAAAGACCAATGGGATTCCAGCCAATGACTAGAACTATGAGGAAAGTAACCAGTCTTTGAGAAGCCAAAGAGAAGGCAGTTTAGGGCATTCAGAGCACTATCATATTGGCTTAGTGAACATCCCAGCAAGACTTTCCAGTATATTATGGGGACTAGATCATAAAAGAGTTAAGACAACATAGGGAAAGAAGAAAGGAAGAAGAAAAGTTACCCATGACCTCATCTACCTAATAATAAGTCTCATTTCAGATAATACCTAATGGTGGAGCTGAAAGCTCAAATGTGTATTTACTTTGATGACAATGATTGCAGCAACACTAGCCTGCAGATGGAAGTATCTAATGTCTGGCCTCTGTACACACAGTTCACTCTTAGCCTAGAAGTTTAATACAGTTGTCTCTGAAAGGGACTAACTGCTGAAAACAATGCTAAGGAAAACCTTCTGTAACAATTATGTGTCAACACTACAATGATAACAGATAAGAAAATAAAAAATCAATACTGGAAATGTAACCCCAAACTAGAAACAACCTTAGCAAAAAAGATAAGATCCACTGACCAAGAAATAATGAATAGGCTATTTTGACCTGATGTCTCAAATTATTTCCTGAAAAGATTACATGTCTTTAAAGTGTATGATAAAGTTCCATGATAATGCACTAGTATCAACACAAATACTAAAAAATATGTATAGTCTTTATTAAATAATAAATCTTACTTTTAAAAATTACTATTACTTTGAGATATCCATTAAATTCTTGACATTTTCAGATTATCTTGTTACAATTCTCTATGTAGGAAGTACAAGGAGGAGGGGAAAGAAAATGCATTGGATTAAAGTGGAAGATGACAAAAAATACTGCTGAGATTTAAAAAAAAAAAGAAAACCCTATTCTCTTTTGTGAATTAGGAAATATGAATCATGGAGGGGAGTTCAATACAGGGAAGAAAGAAAGAAGAAGAAAGAAAGAAAGAAAGAAAGAAAGAAAGAAAGAAAGAAAGAAAGAAAGAAATTAATTTTAACTGAGAAGCAAAAAGAAAGGATAAAGTTCAAGAATAATCTCTAATTTTCATTTCTCCCTCTAGGATATTTTATTTTAAAAGAATTATTCCTCCAAAGTAATCATGTCGTCTTTTCCTAACATCACTTCCACTTCTCTGACCTTTTTTCTGATGGGAGTTCCAGGACTTGAAGCTGACCACACCTGGATCTCCATCCCCTTCTGCTGTCTTTACATGACTGCCCTCTCTGGGAACGGTATAATCCTGTTTGTCATCATCACTGAGTCAAGTCTCCATGAACCTATGTACTATTTCCTCTCTATGCTCTCAACCACTGACTTGGGCTTGTGTATTTCAACACTGGTCACTACACTGGGCATATTCTGGTTCAGAGCAAGACAGATTAGTTTCCATGCCTGTGTTGCCCAGACATTCTTTATTCAACTCTTTACTGTTGTGGAGTCTTCAGTGCTCTTGGCAATGGTCTTTGACCGCTTCATTGCCATTTGCAACCCACTGAGATATGCCGCCATCCTGACTGATTCCAGAATTGTCAAAGTGTGGTTTGCCATCCTTATGAGGGGGATAGTGATCCTAATGCCTCTGGTCCTGCTTCTTAAATGTTTATCCTTCTGCCAAAACTATGTGCTTCATCATTCTTATTGTTTCCATCCTGATATAATCCAGCTGTCATGTTCTGACAATAAGATCAACAGTGTTTTAGGACTTACTGCCCTTATAGTTACTGCAGGAGTGGACTCTATCTTTATTCTTCTCTCCTACACTCTGATTATTAAGACCATCCTAAGCATTGCTTCCCCAGAGGAGTGGCATAAAGCCTTCAGCACTTGTATCTCCCACATAGGTGCTGTTGCCATCTTCTACATTCCTCTCATTAGCTTGTGCTTTGTCTATAGGTTTGGGAAAAAGGCACCTCCTTATGTACACACTATTATGGCCAATGTGTATTTGCTTATTCCACCAGTGATGAATCCCATTATTTATAGTGTGAAGACCAAGCAGATCTGTAGGGCCATTTAAAAAGTCCTTTTTGCCAAAGAATCTGAGCTCTGACTCTAATATCTTTCTAGTAAAATCTACTCCTTAGTAATCACTTCCAAGACCTAACATTCAATCAACATACTTTCATATATCAGTGGCCTGAAACCAAAAAAAAAAAACTAGGTAGCTGGGTAGGAGATGCAGTTTGACAGAAATTTATTTTTTATTTTCAATAGAACTATTACTAATCTACTCTTTAGAAGTAAGCAATAAAATATACTAATATAATGGGTACTATATATCATGATATAAAATTTGGAAAGCATGAATGACAATGGCTAAAATGAACACTTTGCCCATTAGACCAAGCCTCCAAAATCATGCTTAAAACAGTAACTCATATCTTTCTGTCTCATTTTGTTTTCTTAAAGTATACATAATAACTTAAGTTTTGTTTAATCATCAATTAAACCCTGCTCCCTATTATTCTTACATACATTTTGATCACCATTGGTTCATTCTTTCATTTTTATCTACTATTGTTAGACACTGCACAATATGATAGGATGGCAGAGACAAACAAGAAGATATTGTCATAATAGTGAACTATGTAGATAAGAAAGCAACCAATCAAAATCTGATATACTATGTGATATGTTACAACATATAGATATAAGCAAAAGGATTAATAAAATTTATAAGAACAACATTTAGTCTAACCTGGGATGATCAGAAAACCATCACAACGTGTTGTTTAAACTATAAAGTTAAGAACTGGAGAGGTCAACTTTCAGAATGATAGCATGAGAGATTTGTGGACACTCTCCCTTAGGGAAACAAGCATAAACAGTAAAAATTTATATAGACATGGGCATAAACATTTAAGTTCTCTGAAAATTGCCCTAAGTTCATACAGCAAAAGAAAAATCACTATTTAAGAAAATCTATTAAATTACTGTAAGAATAGTAGGAGTCTGGGGCACCTGGCTGGTTTAATTTAGTGTGCAACTCTTGACCTCAGCTCAGGTCTGAACTTGTGCTGGGTGTGGAGCCTACTTTTTTAAAAAAATTAATTAATTAAAAAAAAAGAATAATGGGAGTCTGTGGCACTTGAATCAGAGCAAACATTCACCCTTCCCTTCCTCCACAGTGCAGTTTATTGACAGCTCCACTCCAGATATGTGTAGCCAGGAACACATGGCTTTGCTCCCTAGCCCCCTCCCCCACCCTTATCCCCCACCAGCTCTTAGCATAAGGCTATGATATTTTCCAGAAAGGGTAAATGACCATATTCTTCATTCTTCCCACTTCAGCTCATGTTGTGGAAGCTAAATTCCAGGTGAGTACAATCAAGAGGTCAGTGGCTGTTTCATGCACCCAGTGTTACTCATATGGCAGAAGATCTATTCCAGGCATGGCAGTCAGAGAATACTGGGGCTTCAATCAGCCTTTCCTTACCTCTATCATAAGGAACCAGACTCAAGATAATAGAAGCAAGCTGAAAAGTCATATGCTATCCCACCATTCTATGCAGGTAAATCAGGGGATTAACTCCCAAGAGAAGTAGGTTCTAAGGGAATTATATTATAAATCAATAATAAAAATTTGGAAGTTCACAAATATTAGCAAATTAAACAATATACTCCTAATCAATGGGTCAAAAAAGAAATCACAGAAGTGGGGTGCATGGGTGCCTCAGTCATTAAGTGACTGCCTTAGGCTCATGTCATGACCCCAGAGTCCTGGGATTAAGCCTCACATCGGGCTCCCTGCTTGGCAGGAAGCCTGCTTCTTCCACCCCCATCCCCCCAGCTTGTGTTCCCTCTCTCACTGTGTCTCTCTTTGTCAAATAAATAAAATCTTTAAAAAAAAAAAGATATCACAGAAGGAATTAGTAAATACATCAAGATGAATGAAAATAAAGGCACAATATACCAAAATTATGAGGTGAAGCTAAAGAATGCTTAGAGGAAAATTTATAGCCATAATGCTTATATTGAAAAAGAAAATATCTCAAATAAATTACCTAAGCATCCAATTTAAATACTGGGGGAAAAAAGCAAACTGGTCTTAAATCAAGCAAAAGAAAAAAAATAATAATGATTAGACTACTGGAAATTAATTAGATTATTAAAAAACATATACATTTTTTAAAAGTCTAGGAGGCACAAAGAACCCACTTCAAAATCAACAAAAATAGGTCAACACTTCAATATATTGTAGTGAAGACTGCAAATTACAAAGAATAGAAGAAGAAATGAAGAGTTTCCAGAACAAACAAAACTAAAGAAATTCATGAACACTAAACCAGCCCTGCAAGAAAGGAATCCTTTGAATGGAGAGAGAGCCCAAAAGTAACAAAGATCAGAGAGGAACAGTGACTTTATGGGTAATACAATGGCACAAAATTCACATCTTTCAATAATTACTCTGAATGTAAGTAGACTCAATGTTCTAATCAAAAGACAGAGGGTATCAGAATGGATTTTTTAAAAAGACCCATAGATATGATGTCTACAAGAGGCTTATTTTAGACCCAAAGACAAATCAGATTGAAAGTAGGGGTGGACAACCACTTATCATGCTTGTGGACCTTAAAAAAAAAAAAAAAAAGCTGGAGTAGCTATCCTTATCAGACAACTAGATTTTAAACCAAAGACTGTAATAAGAGCTGAGGAAGGACACTATATCATAAAAAGGGGGTTATCCAAAAGATCTAGCAATTGTAAATATTTATAGCCTTAATTTGGGAACAGCCAAATATATAAACCACTTAATAAAAAAATTAAGGAGACTCATTGATAATAATAAAATAATAGTAGAGGAATTTAACATCCCACTTACAGCAACAGACAGATCATCCAAGCAGAACATCAACAAGGTAACAAGTGCTTTGAATGACGCACTGGAGCACACGGACTGTACAGATATTTTCAAAGCATCTCATCTTAAAGCAGTAGAATACACATTCTTCACAAGTGCATAAGGAACATTCTGCAGAATAGATCACATGCTGGGTCACAAATCAGGTCTCAATCAGAATAAAAAGACTGAGATCATGCCATGCATATTTTCAGACCACAATGCTATGAAACTTGAAGTCAACCTCAAGAAAAAATTTGGAGAGACCATGAATACATGTAGGCTAAAGAATATCCTATGAAACAATGAATGGATCAATCAGGAAATTAAAGAGTTAAAAAATATGTGGAAGCAAATGAATATGAAAACACAACAGTTCAGAACCTTTGAGATGTGCCAAAGACAGTCCTAAGAGGTAAGTATAAAGCAATAAAGGCCTTTCTGTAGAAAGAAGGAAAGCCTCAAACACATAACCTAAACTTACACCTAAAGGAACTGGGGAAAGAATAGCAAATAAAGCTAAACCCAGCTGGAGAAGAGAAATAATAAAGATTAGAGCTTAAAGCAATGATATAGGAATCAAAAAAAACATAAGAACAGATCAATGAACTTTCGAGCTGGTTCTTTGAAAGAATTAATATGATTGATAAACTCTAAGCCAAACTTACCAAAAAGAAAAGAGAAAGGACCCAAATAAAATTATGAATGAAACAGGAGCCAACACTGCAGAAATATAATTGTAAGAGAATAACATGAGCAAATTATGTCAACAAATTAGACAATCTCAAAGAAATGGATGCATTCCTAGAAACATGAAAACTACCAAAACTGAAAAAGGAAGAAATAGAAAACCTGAACAGATTCATAACCAGCAAGCAAATTGAAGCAGTCATCAAAAATCTCCCAAAAAACAAGAGTCCAGGGCCAGACAGCTTCCCAGGAGTAATCTGCCAAATATTTAAAAAGAGTTAATACCTATTCTTCTGAAAATGTTCCAAAAAATAGAAATGGAAGGAAAACTTCCAAACTCCTTTTATAAGGCCAGCATTACCTTGATCCCAAAACCATTCAAAGACCCTCCCCAAGAAGGAGAATTACAGACCAAAATGCCTAATGAATATGGATGCAAAACGTCTCACCAAAATACTAGCTAAGAGGATCCAACAATACATTAAAAGGAGATGAATGGATAAAGAAGATGTGGTATATACACACAATGGCATACTATGCAGCCATCAAAAGAAATGAAATCTTGCCATTTGCGACAACGTGGATGGAACTAGAGGGTATCATACTTAACAAAATAAGTCAATCGGAGAAAGACAACTATCATATGATCTCCCTGATATGAGGAAGTGGAGATGCAACATGGGGGGTTAAGGGGGTAGGAGAAGAATAAATGAAACAAGATGGGATTGGGAGGGAGACAAACCATAAGTGACTCTTAACCTCACAAAACAAACTGAGGGTTGCTGGGGGGAGGGAGGTTGGGAGAAGGGAGGTGGGGTTATGGACATTGGGGAGGGTATGCGCTGTGGTGAGTGCTGTGAAGTGTGTAAACCTGGCAACTCACAGACCTGTACCCCTGGGGATAAAAATATATTATATGTTTATAAAAAATAAAAATTTTTTAAAAAAAGGATTATTTACCTTGACCAAGTGGGATTTATTCCTGGGATGTAGGCATCATTCAAAATACATAAAATCAGGGGCACCTGGCTGGCTCAGGTGGTTAAGCATCTGCCTTCGGCTCAGGTCCTGATCTCAGGGTCCTGGGACCGATCCCCACATTGGGCTCCCTGCTCAGCAGGAAGTCTGGTTCTCCCTCCCACTCCAAACCTCCTCCTGTTCCTGCTCACTCGCTCGCTCTCTTTCTCTCTCTCTGTCAAATAAATAAATAAAATCTAAAAAAAAATACATAAAATCAAACAATGTGTTACACCACATCAATAAAACACAGCACAATAACCATATAATCCTCTCAATATATGTAGAAAAAGCATTTTACAAAATACAGCTTCCTTTCTTGATTAAAAGCCTTCCACCATTGAGGAATATAAGGAGAATACCCCAACATCATAAAAACCATACACAGGAGATCCACAGAAAATATCATCTTCAATGGGGAAAAATTGAGTTTTTCCCCTAAGGTCAGAAACACAGTAGGCATGTCCACT